GTTTATCCCATAATAAGTCATAATTTACGAGATCAAAAGCTCTGGAGAGATCTAAAAAGCATGCATATACAGGTGTACGTCGCTTTGTGTAATATTCAACAGTGTGCTTTAGGGCTAAGATAGCATTCTCAGTAGACAATTCAGACCGAAACCCAAACTGTGCATCGTGCAACTCAATATAACTTTCCAGCTGTGTATCCAACAGGCTGTCAAGTATTTTAGCCATAATTGTTGCCAAAGATATAGGTCGATAATTACACTTATCTCCCACGTCACCTGTTTTGTTCTTAATTATAGGCACAACTATTGTCCGCATAAGGTCGTGAGGCAGATACGAATGACAGAGACATGAAGAGAAGAAAGTAGCGAGTAATCGAGGCAGGTGAGGTCCGGCATGCTGCAGGTGCTCGATGCTGAGAGAATCATGGCCGGGAGATTTCCCCCTAGTCATATTTTTAATGGCAGTTGCCACTTGTTCAGGTGTAAAACGAATGCAGTCATGACTGCCATGATAGCTCTCATCTCCGGGCACCGGCTGCGATGGACCTAGCAACGACTCTATTTTAAAATGCTCTGCAAACATATTAGCTATGCTAATAGGTTCGTTTACACCTCCAACGCACACAGGCCGGGTAGGCTTAATATCAAGTTTGTTGGTGGATTTCCAGAATTTTTTGAAATTATTTGCTTTACGATGTGATGCTATGATATCGAGTTGAATTTGCTCTTGATGGTTTTGACACCATTTTAGTTTGCTCTTAAATATTTTACGTGTTATGCACATATCGTCATATATAGGCCCACTAGTTGGTTTGTTATGCCACAACCATAAGCGATATTTAAACCTAGCCATCGCATGTGCTTCCCTCACATGTCTGTTCCAACCTACAATACGACCACTATGCTTATAACTTCTATTATCATCATAACTCTGTATAGCGGCCTCAGATAAAATAGTAACAATATTGTTGTACATTTCATCAAGCATTAACCTATGATGAGTATTGTTACAGTGTGAATTATAACATATGCTAAGTTCCTCAGGTACCTTAAGCGATATTAATTTGCTATTACACATATCATAATATACTTCAATCCGATCACTGACCCTTTCGCCCCATATTACTTTGTTACATGATTTTGTCGCAACTTCTAATTTCGTTTTAATAGTGTCTAACCTGCACTCAACAACAAAGGGGCAATGATCAGACCAGAATACATCATAAAATATTCTTATGTTAGTTATAGTGTGCCAAGCAGCTTGTGTGACAATGCAATGGTCAAGCCATCGTCTACAGCCATGTGCATCACTGACAAATGTATAGTTATCAGATTCTACACCTAACTTTTCAATGTCTGCACAAATCCAATTTTGTTCAGAACAGAATTTTAAAAGTTCAAGTCCAAAAGACTCACCAGGTGCTCATTAAAATCACCAAGGACGTACACTGCCTCCACGTCACAACTTTCGACTATCGCGCTTACCTCACTAAGACAGTCAGTGAATTCTGTTAGGTTATCACTCACGTCTGTCGGCATATATACACAAAACACTAAAAAGTATCTGTCACCTAGGGATACTTTTATTGCTGCTAGCCGCACATTAGCACAGTTTATTACTGTAACTGACTCAAAAGTTCCTTTGCGCCACAAAATCGCCACACCACCATACGGTCGTCCTTTGAGTATGCCCTCTGATATATTCACAGCTGATTTTCCTGTGTATTCAAAATCTTGATGTATCTTGGCAAGGTATGGGATATCAAAGGGAAGCAACCACGTTTCCTGGAGAGCAACTATATCAACTTTTTGACACAGAAACTTAACTGCATCAATTGAGCGTTTCACAGATTTGCAATTAAAACAGGCTAATTTAGTTGTTTTATAAATTTCTTTATCCATTCTTATGTAATAGTTTGCTTCATTATGCTATTAACGCTATTTTTTAACTTAAAATTATCATTTGTAAAACGCCTAAAGGTTATGCCATCGGGCCAGAACTTATCGTCAAGAAAAACATCCAGCTTTGACTTGGACACATAGAGCTTGAAAGAATTATACTTCTTTTCAATTTTTCTATTAATTTTAAATAAAGATGTTTCCTCCTGTGTTTTATCTTTAATATATGCAATAATATCACTTTCCTTTGTGTCCTTTGACACATTGGAAATAAACAAAGGAATTTTGATTATTGCTGCCTTAAATTTTCCATCGGGTCCAACATCGGCTTTTCCCATCCTTTTACCGGACGCTGAATTTTTTCGTTTCGTATTAGTAACCAATGTCCACTTTTCCAAAGACTAATAGAAAGTTAGTTATTAAATTATAAAAGTATAAAAAAAAAATACCAACAATGAATTTAGGGTTATAAATATGGTGCTTGCGTGCGTACCAGTGTGTGTGTGTGTGTGTGTGTGTGTGTGTGTGTGTGTGTGTGTGTGTGTGTTTGTGTGTGTGTGTGTGTGTGTGTGTGTGTGTGTGTGTGTGTGTGTGTGTGTGTGCGTATGTGTGTGTGTGTTTGTGCGTGCGTGTATGTTATATGTGTGCATGTGGGTGCATGTATAGTGCATGGTGCATGTATGTATAGAATATGTATCTTTGTGAATTATATATTATAGTGTGGAATATTACACATATTCGTTTGTTGGTTTGTTAGCCCTACGACTGTGTCTTGGGATCAGAAGTTATCATTGTTCAATGAATAACTTTCTGTAACTGTCACCAAAAGTTGCATAGCACTCAGTTGCGCTTATGGGTGATGAATGACACTCTCAATTTCTTCATAGTTTTTTGTGATTAACCATTTCTCTAGTGTCTTTTTACATTCAATATGTGATAGAGGGTAAATATTGAGTTTTTTATTAAGTTTATTATATATGTAAGCAGACTGACTGATATATTGCCTCTTTGCAAATACCGATCTAACCCGAGGCTGTGGAACAACATTAACGATCGTCCTACGATTGCTTTTTTTTTGGGTCATAGGAAATCGACTTGTGCTTTCTAATGACAATGCGTAGTAGGTACAACTTTCTTACAGATAAGAGACCACTATTCAGATATAAGTTATCAGTTGGGGATCTATATGGTAAGAAGAACATTACTTTCAGAAGAGCTCTTTGTGCTCTTTCCAGATTTAAGAAACTCGTTTTTATCGCACCTCCCCAAACTGATATGCAGTAGGTAATAACTGATTCGGCAAGTGCGCGGTAGATTTTACGTAGAAGGTCCAGTCGAGCCACGTGTCGCAGAGTCTTAAATGACCAGATTAATTTCCTAACTCTGCTTGTGAGTTGCTCTATATGCTAATGCCAGGACAATCGCTGATCCAACATTACACCAAGGTATCTCGTATTAGAAACCTTTTTTAACTCAGGACAAGAGCAATCCGAGACCGAGTGATTATTGCAATAATGTAGCTTAATATTAAAGTAATCTGGGGGCTGCGCGTTGTTGTATTTGGTAAAACATATATAGTTAGTTTTAAGTAAATTAAAGTGAGTAGGTTTTTGTTTAACCAGGATCCTAATTTTACTAAGCCAGTCTCCACACGATTTTTAAGTTGCTGCCAATCATTAGCAGAGAAAACAATAGCTGTATCGTCCGCATATGAGAAGATGTCACCACCCTCTATCTGCATATTACACAAACTATTGATGTAGACCAAGAACAAAGTGGGACCCAACACACTGCCCTGCGGGACACCATATGTGACAGTAGCCTCAGAACTAGTTATTGAGCCGATTTTGACACGAGTTTTACGATTGCTGAGATAGTCACCAAGAAGTTTTAGCGGAATACCTCTAACACCATGATTGTAAAGGTTTTGTAGTAGAATAGGGACGGAAACTGTGTCGAAGGCCTTTTTTAAATCTAAGAAGACAGCTAGACATTTTCTTCCGTAATCAACATGGTTTACCGTACGGGAAGTCAGTGCTATAATTGCGTCTTCCGTAGATAGATTCTGACGGAAGCGAAATTGTGATGTTGAAAGTATATTAAATTTTGAAATAAACTTTATTAATCTAATGTTTATTAATTTCTCAAGTATCTTTGCTATTACAGATATCACCGATATCGGCCTATAGTTTGAAGGATTAAACTTGTCACCACTTTTATATACAGGTGTGATAATAGTCTGTTTAAGAGCTAACGGGAAGACACCTTGTTCAAAACAAAGGTTAGCTAGGTGAACAAGAATTGGTATAATCTCTTTATGGGCACTTTTTAGAAAATGAGCTGGTATATTGTCATAACCAGGGGCACTGTCTGATTTCATGGACATGAGCAGACTATATATCTCTTCACGGTCGGTGTCAAAAATAACAAAAGATGTAACTTGAGTATTTGTTATGATATTAGTATTAGTAGCTTGTTGTGTTGTGTTTTTAATATTTCCTTCTGCTAACTGTTGCCCTACCGTAGCAAAGTAGCTGTTAACAGTGTCAACAGATTCCTGGGGGGATAAAGTTAGTTTCAGAAGATCCAGGCTTTGAACTTTGGCAGGTTTGCGTTGAGTAAGACTATCGATCGTCTGCCATAGTTTCTTTGGGTTTCTGATAGCTAGTTTTAGTTGATTTTTGTCATAGTTACGTTTTAATTTTTTAATCAAGCAATTACAAAAATTACGGTAACGTTTATATGTGATTTTGAAAATCTCGTTTTCTGGATTTAATTTTACCTTACGTTGCATATCGTTCCTATTTTTAATGCAGCGGAGAACTCCCAGGGTAATCCAAGGTTTGATTATTCTATTTTTTCTAGGAATCGAAATTTGTTTCATGTTGGATTGAAGGCACTTTTGCATAGTTAATGTGAGCTGCTCTACTATGAAATTCGGGTCGTTAACTGTTAATAAGTTAGATAAATCTGTGAAAAAAATAAGTTAGATAAATGTGTGAAAAAGTTCGAAAGATGCCCGGCTAAAGAAAAAACAGCTTGCAGGATTAGTTGAATTATCAGAAACAACCATTTTAAACATCCTACATCAACATCTTGGCATGACTAAAGTCTGTGCAAGATGGGTTCCGAGAATGCTTTCTGCGGATCAAAAACACGAGCGCGTCGAAAGTTGTCGCGAGTTTTTGGACCGCTATGGAGAGCCAAGGGGGAAAGTTATGGCCCGAATTGTAACTGGCGATGAAACTTGGGTTCACCATTATGAACCTGAGTCAAAGCAAGAGTCGATCCAGTGGCATAAAAAAGGCACACCCCATCCTAAAAAGTATAAGGTGTCTCAATCGGCCGGAAAGATCAAGGCGACAATCTTTTGGGATACAGATGATATCCTTTTGATTGATTATAAGGAACGTGGTGTTTCCATAACGGGAGAATACCACGCTTCTTTACTAGATCAATTAAAAGAAGCTATTAAAGAAAAAAGGCGAGGAAAGCTTACAAAAATCGTGCTCATTTAGCACGACAATGCGCCCGTGCACACAACTAATGTTGCGACGGCTGCCATACACCGGTGCGGTTTTGAACAACTGCGCCACCCACCGTACAGCCCAGACCTGGCCCCAAGCGTTAACTTTTATTTTCCAAAAATGAAGAAGGAACCGCGTGGGAAAAAATTTGGCGACGATGATGAAGTGAAGTCGGCAATTTGGGATTATTTTGACGCCCAAGACAAATCTTTTTTTAGACGATCTAATAAATGTACTAGGATTAAGGGTATATACATTGAAAAGGAAGAATAGTTTAGTGTTTCATTTCATTATCCTTTCCTGTCATTCCGCGAACTTTTCGACCTACCCTCGTACCTACGCGCTTTGCGCTTAAGACATGCAATTACGGCTACCAAACCACCTGCCAAGCGTAGCAAGAGAGGCATGTGTTCAGCATTGGACTTTTATAGGCTATAATGGACAATGCTTTAAACAGGAAGGAGAGTCAAGACGGCGATTCTGATTCGCTCCGATTCCTTATCCTTTACCTTATCTTCGGGTACGATTTTGTTTCACAATTATGCACCTCACAAGTTACGTCACCTTAATGTCAAATTATTTGACAAATAAATTACATAAAATAGATTGTTTATGCAAATTCATTGTCACCCTTCAAGACAATGATGGAACGCCTCGTTACCAGTATAAGAAGGTTCTCCGATTGTCGCCAGTCACCATACGAAACACAGCAGCATTGTTGTGGTATTTTACTAGTATTGTGTGAGAATGTAGCCCTTCTCAGAATAGAATAGAATTATTTTTATTCAATATTGATGACATGTAATTTTTATTGAATATCTTTTTTACATTACCACTGGTTCGGAAAAAAACCTCTGTCCTGGGAAGAACCAGCAAGAAATCCAGCGGGACTTTTTTTTTAAATAAATTTTACAATATAAATGGTTGCAAACTATTTACAAAATTTATTTTACAAACAGCTTGGAAGCCACCACCTCATTCCCAGGAGTTATAATCAACCATGTATTCATTTATACTCTAAAGTCTTTGTTTTATTGAATATTTAAACTTGGTAATAAAGAGATCTTGTATATTTTGTATATTTCCCCGGTTGAGCGCTGTGGATTCGACCTATTCGTGTTACTTTATCGAGTAGAGAGTACAGAGCGGCTTTATCGCGTGTACAGTTTTGCCTCTCACACTTTAAAAAAAAAGGTGTAGCGTACTATAACAATTTACATTAAGTTGGCCAGTGTGTTCGTTATCCCGAATTTAAAAAAAAAACAAATGCAAAATTAAAAACAAACGTACAAGGTATACAAGCAGCCATTTTCCATCCATTAACCAAATTAGCTCGAGGACACGAGGCTTTCGTCAGGGCCCGCCATGACACTTTGTGAAAAATTAAATTAGAACATGAATTTTTATGAATTTTGAAGGAACAATGAGAGTAACTTTTTAAAGAAACGTTAATTTAAACGATTTAAAACAGAACATTAAAGTGCATTATAAAGTCTATTTAAAATTACGGAAAATTAGATATTTTAATAATGTTTTATTTCTGTACTTGGTATTTTCTTAAAACTAAGGCGAGGGGATAACCAAAAAGTTCGATTCAAATATTGAAATAAAGACATGTCAGTACGTAGATGAATTATTAATTATTAATCGTAATGTAAACCTGGGAGTGTAGGGCGGCAATCAAGGCCAGAGACGAGAAAAAATGATGATCTTTTGTCGATGCATGTAAGTGGCTTAAAAACCGCGCTCTGTTCAGTATTTAAGGGAGATCTATGTTCAGCAGTGGTAATGTGACAAGCTACAAAAATGAAGATGAAACAAATTACGGCCTGCTAATATGACTTACTAACTCTTGTGTTGTAGTCTTAAATTACATCTTATATTGAATAAAATTGGTTTACATTTTAATTTAACAAAAAAGGAAAAAAATAATTTGTCAAAGTTGCCGTAGAATCACCTAAAAATTTATTTACAAGAATTTTTAAATGTAACGGATTGTTAACTTGTTAGCTGAAAATTAATTGGTTTTAGAAGCAACATTTTAGAAAGAAAAAAGCAGGCTTTTAAACAAGATAAATACAAACATCGCAGCAAAATGGGACTCTTACATTAAACTCCGTGACTATGCATAACCAAACGCCAACATTAACTAAGAAGGAGCGCGTTCAAAAACATCTAAAGAGCTTTGATATAGCAGAAATCATCGCAAAAGTGAACTCGTGATATGTTGACAGAAAGGCTGACACGACTCGAAGCCGAAGTAGAACACTTCTTGTAAGCACAGCTCGACAGAAAAATGGCAAACGTTGAGCAGACTCGCGGCTTTGCAACACTTTTGCGCCCTGATTTATCTCAATCATATGCCAAACTTGACATCATATGGCACACAGAATTGTGTGCCTACCAATCATTTCTTCTTTCTGTGTTAGTGTTTAAGTTAATATTTTTTTAAATGCCTTATACTTTGAGATGCGAATCCAAAGAGACTTAAGTTTAAAAGGCGCGTGTGATACTTGCATTCCATACTGCAGCCAGGGCGTGTCGCCAGTTGTTACCATATACGATGACACAGCTATCGACGCGTACGATGAAATTAAATATTCTCATCGAGTTCTTTAATTAAAACGGGCATAAAGATTAGTGGTAGGGCAAATAGAGTCTCTAAGTGTGACACGAACTGCCGGACCACAGAATTATAGAAGTGGTGTGTATTTATAATGTTGAGGTTAGTGGTAATATTATTATTGTTATTTCATCCTTTATTACAAACAGCTTATACACAAATAACAACTCTATTACACATTTGACCTCAGGTAACTAACCGTAACTTCAAGATAACTATGAAAGCGCTGTAATAGCACCAACAATAATTTAATGTAGCGCCTAAAGCATTGTTTCCCCAGATAATAAATTACTCTGTCTAGGATGGGCTTGTTCTTGTATATAATTTAGCAGCAAAGTACTGCGGAGCGCGAAAAAGATTTAATGGCGCAGTCACCACGGACATATTACTGTGCGGCCTTTCATATATTTAATATTATAACGTTTTTAATATTTTACTATTGGACCACATAGATTTTTTTTATTCTTATTATAGTAAAAGTGATTTAATTATATATTAATAAAAGGCCGGTAACGAACCTGCAATTCTCCCGGTATTGCAGTTGTTCATGGGCGTCAGTAGTCACTTACCAACAGGTGAGCTGCACGCTCGTTTGCCTTCTCTTATATAAAAAAAAAAAAGATTTTGAGGACATTATTTTACGTATCTAAAATAGTTATTATTCCTGAAAAGTAAAATTCAGATTCTTCCCGAAACTAAGACAAGCAAAGAATTAAGTCCCTTTTTCACTGTCTAATATTATCAAGACTTCTTCTGTGTAGTGTGACAACGCATCTACATTATTTTTCTGAAGCGGGAATGTATGTACATGTGTAGGCCACAGTATCCACTTACCATCTGAGTGGATGTTGTTGTTTTGAAAAGAAGTCTCTATGACTACAAAAAAAACACCTTTAAATATATCCTACCATCAATAGTCTGATATTCAAGATAATATAAAACCGCAGACATCTTGCGGTTTCATATTCTCTCTAGATACTTTACAAACAATCTAGACAACAGCAATTGACTGCGTCTAACCGCCTCGGTGCTCCGCGTAAATATGTCTATTGAAGAACGAACAAGTTATATAGCAGCGCCGCCACACGATCCAGTCACAACTTTTACAAGCCAACGCGAAATACGGTGCGTCTGTAGCCATTCATCAGGCGCCTAGCGAGCGTGATAAGAATTTATCAAGTTATTATCAATTTAAGTGAAATATGACAGGAATTTGAGAAATTTTTTCCTGGTCAGGATTTATACTTCGCCAGTTCACTTGACTTAGGGAAAGTCACGTAATAACTCGGCAGTTTCGTATATTGAAATCTGTTACGTTCAAAAATCGCTTTAGAATTTATGTAGATATATAATGATAATTATTAAAAGCAATGTCCTCAGGCCAAATTTCATCTATCCTCATCATCACAACCCTTCACAAGTCCACTGCTGAACATAGGCCTCCCCCAAGGAATGCCACAAAGCACGATCCTGAGCCACCTGCGTCCATCGACCTCCTGCATGTCTTACCAGGTCGTCACTCCATCTAGTGGGGTGCCGCCTCACACTTCGCCTACCGGTAAGAGGCTGCCACTCGAGAACCTTTTTTCTAGACATATAAATAAATAAAATTGAAGTCGCCGTCTGTAACATTGAAATAACTGGTTTCTACTGGGCTCAGGGGGTTATTTGCATGCTATCGAGACAAAAAAACAAATATTCTTAAAATTTTCTACCTCACATCTAAATAACGCTACAGCTATAATTACAATAACTAGCAAAATTGTAGTGCACGAGAAGTGCGCAAGCACCGGTGCACTTTCTATTCCTTCACTCCAACAGTCCGATGGCACGGTAATCCGATACGACCAAAGAGAAATCAGGCGCAGTACCAGCAGGACCAACGAGTTGCGTGCTTTCGGAGGCACGCGGGTACACACCGCCATTCATCGGAAGCTATACGATCTCTCCGACATTTTCTGCGTCTACGACACCTACAGACATTGGGGTGACGGATTCTCTTAATCCGTCAAACTATTACCATTTATTAATTCTAAAGAGATAAATCATCATTCATCATTACATCCCTTCACAAGTCCACTCTTGAACATAGGTCTCCCCCACGGAATACCACAAAGCACGGTCCTGAGCCACCTGCATCCATCGACTTCCTGCATGTCTTACTAGGTCGTCACTCCATCCAGTCGGGGGCCGCCCCACACTTTGCCTACCGCTACGAGGCTGCCATTCGAGAACTTTTCCCCCATCGATTGGCGATTCTTCGAACTATATGGCCGGCCGGCCTATTGCCACTTCAGCAGTGGACTTATCAAGGCCTATAATGATAGTCAGTTGCACAGTTGAATTTATAAATTTTCGATTTCATTTC